TTGCTAGATGTCAACTTTTAATTAGTAAATTGATTTGATCAATTTGATACTGGTTTAGTGTTGAACTTATGAGGTCGCACATTAACGAGCATTCTGACTTTTTCTAAATAGATTAATTATTTTAATTATTTAAAAATTAAATTAGAAAATTTAATTTAATTAAATAAATAAAATTTTTAGTTTAAATAAAATATTATTATGTTATTTATTAGCACTGAGAATATAACTAATATTATAGATAAATTGAATATTTTTATTTTTAAAATAAAAAATTAATATTTATATTTTGATTATTATATTATTAGTATAATAATATAATATGTGTCTATTATAATAATTAAGATTATTATAAAATTTAATTTGAAATTAAATTAGTTTATAAAATTATTTTATTAAATAATAATAATTAAAAGGATAAACATATATATATATATGAGATATATATGTAAATATTTAGATGTTAAAAAAAAAATGGATGAGTCCAAATAAATTTGGACTTCCACAGGAAGAGTCCGAAAGGAACACCTCCAGCCATGCCATCTATATATATGATATATATATATATATATGTGTGTGTGTGTGTGTGGGGATTTGAAAAGAGTGAGATGAGAATTAGAAAATCAGCTATACAACAAAAAGAAAGATGGTGAATTCTTGGTTAAGATTTTATTAGAAAATTTTAATATATTTATATTATTCAATTTGTTCGTATGTTCTGTTAATTAAAAAATTGAACGATAAAAATTGAATTTCAGTGTGAATACGCATAAAATGTTCGTATTTTTGAATAATTTTAATTTGAGAACCCCGCTGTCAGATATGTTTTAAATTTAATTTTTAACATGCAATATAATTTTTAAATACAAATAAATCAAATTTAATTATTTTTTTTATATTCTGCTGCGTGTTATGCATATATTATAATCCTTCAGTTAGTTTCGCTTATTCGTTGGTTAGCTTCAAATGAAATTTTACCGGATCGTCATACATTTCGTTTAACTAAATGCACAAAGCAAGAGCTTATGATAATTTCTGCTTTACATAACCATCTATAATCTCACAAAAATAGGTATGTTGACCATATTCGGAAGCAGTATTCTCTTAGCAGAAATTTAAAATTTTCCTCGTTTTATCTGTTTGTAAAAAGTCCAAGAGTCTTACAGGACTTCCTTTTTATGACAGAGAATACCTGTTGGGTTTGTCAAGAAATATCTCATTAAGAAGGATGGAAAAATGATTCTTCAGACTTCCGCTGGGGGTAGTTGGACTGTGGGGTACAAGGTTATAGTGCAAAGTGACAGGGGAATATGTGGGGCATTTCTTTTCAAATGGAAGGCATTTGCAGAGAAAAACAATATTGAAGTTGGTGATGTTTGTGTTTTTCAACTGATTGATAGAACTAAACTTTCGTTCAAAGTAATCATTTACCAAAATGATGACAGTCCAGATTGTTTCCAATCACAAGGTATTAAGTGTGTCTTAAGTCCTGCAACATCTTCAGTAGATCTAAAGAGAAAAACTCTTTCAAGTCTTTTAACAAATCTTTGAATGTCTTCTACAGGGATGTCTGTTACTACTCCTCCAAAGTGCCAAAAATCAGAGGCCAACTTGAGTGTCGAACCACCAACTCCAAATGAAATAGATTGTCACAGAGATCTTGATTTTAACTTCAAAAATTCTTTCTTCCTAGTTGTGATGAAAACATACCTTTGTAGGATTTCGATCAACACGCATTTGAATAATCAATTTACAACACAAAATAATCGAAACAAGTAAAAAATTGTTTCTTGTTTTTGATGTTTCAGTATATACCCAAGGAGCTTGCAAAAATACATTTAAAAGGGAGTTATGGTGAAGTCAAGCTCCGAGCCCAGGATGGGAGAAGTTGGAATGTTGGGTACAATATGCAGGTGTCCCATCCTCGTTTAATAGCTAAATTTGATTCTCGTTGGAAAGCATTTGTAGGGGACAACAATCTGAAAGTAGGCGATTCTGTTTCTTTGAGCTGATTCCGGGCCCTAAAACTTAGTTTAATGTTGTTATCAAACGTGCCACAGAAGATGCAAATTATGGATTATCTACTGAACATGGAGGTATCAACTCAAATCCCCCAAACTTTTGCTGCCTAAGACTATATATATCTAATTGTACTTGAAATGTTGTGCTGGAATGACTTATTCTCAGGACCTGAGTACTTACAAAAGACTTGGGGATTTCAAAAACCAAATTTAAAAAGTGAATATTTTAGTCTTACAAACTGCCTAAACCCTTGTTGTTAACTCGTGCAATACTGTTCTACTTATTGTAGACGAGTACAAAAAATTGAGAGGCGAGACAGGTTTGGAGAATATCCATAAATATTCTTGTCTGACAACTGCTCGAGCTACTGAGGCTGCCAACAAATTTGTCTCCAAGTATCCATTCTTCTTGGTTGTTGTTCGGTCGTATCATCTCAAATACTCTCAGATGGTATGGTATATATCCAGCAATATTTATAACAATCAGCATGTGATCTTGGTTGCCCCAATATTAAACTATACATTGAGTTGCTATGAAATTACACCAATTATCCCACATGAAAAATTTCCAGAATAATTTTGATAATTGTCTAACCTTTTATAGTTGAGAAATTGTTTATAATTAAATAGGTAACATCGAAATTAATACCACTAATTTGTTTTGTGAAGCGTATACCGGTAAGTTTTTTCCGGAAATACATAAAAGAGAAATAAAACTTCGGTGACACTTAAAACTGCCGGCAAATCCTGCCCAGTGAAGATAGATAGCTATTATGGTCAATGTTCATTAGCTGTTGGTTGGAACGTATTTGCTGTAGGAAAATTCTTTACAACCAGGAGATATCTGTGCCTTTGAGCTGATCGAGGGAAGCGATATAGTACTCAAAGTCTCCCTCTTCTGATGCAGTACGGATTGATGTGATCATGTTTCGTTTTTTAGACATGTGAAGGAAACTTAATGAAGATTAGTTGCCAAGTAAAGCAGCATTCAAAAATTTACATTTTATAGCTCCTATTCAAATGGGTGTTGAATGCTAAAAATCTTCCTTTAGTTTTTCTTTTCCCATCACTTGTTTTTTTCTTTTTTGGTTTAGATTTTAGATGCCTGACTTGATTTATTAAGAACTTGTTTGGATGACTTTCAACATAGTTTATTAATGTACAGTATTATACGATAATGACAAAATTATACCATATTTACAGAATTCGTGTATTAACATAAATAATGACAGTTATTTTTATTTGAATTAATAGAATGATATAGTTTTATATTTGATTAAATTATTTATTTTATTGTAAGTAATAATAAATAAAAAAAGAAAAGATTAAAAAAATATATAATTAAATATATACATGTTTATATGTACTTAAATAAATATATGTGTATATATATAATTAAATATATAGATATATGTATATATAGAAAAGGGATAAAAAAATTGGCCAAAGGGTACAAATGTAATTAATAAAAATTAGTGAGGGTATAAAGAGAATAAAAATATTTTACCATTAAAAAAAAAAAAAAAAGTATGAGAATCATGCAAGAATTATCGAAAAATCATACTATATGTCTGAGAATAAAACTAAATAAAATAAAATGATATAATATTATATCAGATATTAATAAATCGTAATCTAAATACACTTACTATAAAGGGTTTTATTATAACTTGAACACCTCACTCTGACATATTTCTTCTAAAAATTCAAATGTAGTAGACCTCTTGTTGTTGTATTTAGTTATGTCTCAGTTGAACGGAGAATGAGGGATTGATTTTAGAGTTGAGGTAAAATTTTGTATAAAACAAATTTAAATTCAAGTTAATTCTAAATTCAATGGTGTAATATTTAGGATATTAGCATGATCATTAATTTATTGACCATGAACATGAAAATTCATATAAACTGAAATAATCAAGTTGATTCAAGTGTTTAACATTAAGTCCATTAATAGTGTAGTAATTAATTATGAAAATTAATGTTAGCAGCTTCAGGTGATTAGCAGAAAGCTAATACTAATTAATAGGCCAGGTTTAAGATTTAATTTTTGTTGGGATTAGGAAATGAGTTATTTTTTTGGCATGTATATAACCTACCTCCACATGTGAGTTAAAATTCATAATATCAGCATAATTTTGAGGAATAATAAATGTATAAAAAATTTTATAAGATTTTTACATGTATAAACTAATTCCCCGTAAAAAATAACATTATACATTATAATTGTTTATGAATTTTTGTATTAAGTATGCTTTTAATTTACGGCTTAAACAGTCTTATTTGAATTTTTTTGGTATTTCTTTTTAACAATTTATTACATATAATTTTATTTTACGTTATAAATATATAAAATAAATTAAAACTAATAGAAATAAAAAAAATCATAATTATATATAAAAAAAAAAAACATGATGATTAAATTGTTAAAATAAAAATACAAATAAAAGTACTTGGAATTAAAATTAACTACACCAATAAAACAATAAATTTATTGCAATTTTCTCATTCTACCAGCTTAATTATGGCGAAGAACAGGACACGGGAATCACCTTCTTCTTCTCTTGGAAGATCTAGCGGGTGTTTCAGAATCCAAACACCAACACGGAAATAAATGCTGCAAAAAAAACAAAAACAAAAGTGCTTAGATTAGTTGGCAACCGAATCAAAAACCACCCTTTTAGTAAGAAAATTAAAGATCGAAATAGAAACCAAAGTATCATACATGTCGTATATCCTGCATAGTCCTTGTTCTCTTCTTGGGCCTTGAACATAGCTTCTTCTTCCCTTTCCACGCAAACATATCATCTGCAATCTCTTGTTTGGAAAGCGAAATCGACGAACCCCTGTTCTGCTCATTCTTCTCTGTTGATTTCGACCTCCCTGAAAGAACAGTCGTTCTTCTTGCCCGAGTCGAAGGAACCCGAAGGGCTACCGATACAGTCGAACGGAGTTTCCCTAGCTCCCATGATGGCATATGGAATTCCAGTGTTCCCCCATCGACAGCATCGGGTTTCTCCTTCTCTTCCGGCGATTCTCTTATTTCCAGATTCCTGATTACTGTCACCGATTGATCAGCTTCATGGACAATAAAAGAAACAGAGGTTTGATTCGCTGTAGAGGTCGTAGCATCGCCGGGGTTCATATTTCTGCTGCTCGAGCCATTTTTAATCGTAATCTTCAATCCAACTTTAGGTGTCGCCGGGGAATTTCTGATCACTCTGTGGCCGTTGGAGGTCTCGACAGGGACGTCACGGTCAGGGTCGTTTGTGGGAGTGATCCTCACTTCAAGCTCGAACGATGCCGTTTCCTCCTCCGAAGCCACCACCACCAAATTCACATTCTTGTCAGGCTCCAAGATCATTCTCTCCCCGTTAGGTGACGGCAGCATCTCCTCCGAAGTCTCACCACCCGAGTCCTCCTGTGAATCGCCGGCAGTTAAACCAGAAGTTGCAGAAACTCCAGCATCAGAGTCGTTGGTTTCTTTATCGGAGTTCGGAGAGGGGTTAGAGTGAAGAGTGAGGAAGAAGGTTTCGGAGTCAGGAGGAACAGTGAAGGGGGGAAACGAACCAGAATCAGTATTCAATGAAAGAGATTCCTCCATTGTAGTCGACTGTTTACTTCTCTGTGGATTGTAGTTGAGAGAGAAAGCAAGAGGAAGAAAGCCTTAATGACGGTTGATTAGTTAGGGTTGTTAATTTAAGGGAATGTGAAATGAGGGAAGAAATTAAGAAGATTTAGGATTTTCGAGTTCAATTTCAACGCTGCTTTTCAAAGGGAATTTGACATGAACTAGGAAATCTATTCTATTCAGGTAATTATCACTGAATGCCTTTTTCTTTTTCCCTTTTTTAATACCGAGTATACTGTCCGGATATAACTAAATCTTAATATCCACTAATTTGTTTTAACCTATTTTATATAAGTCCAATAAAATTTGGTAATTAAGTAGATATTAAGTAAATTTGAACGAATCTAATAATTTTTTTGTCCCAGTTTATCCCCGTTGTTTATATAATTAATATAATAAAATTTGATAATTAAGTAGATATTAAGTAAATTTGAACGAATCTAATAATTTTTCTCTCCCAACTTATCCCGTTGTTTATATAATTAAATATTGTATTTAAATATATTTTTTATTTAGTATTTAATATTTATTAACTGAAATTATTTAAATATTTTATATATTTTTAAAAAATTAAAAAAAAAATGTGGGTAAAGACGAAAGTTTTACATAGTAACAGGTGAGCAATAAATTTTTTTTTACCCTATTTAGGAACGAAACAGGTATAAATTAATGTTGTTATTAACAAGTCAATTATACATATTACTTTGTGCCTTTCATTAACACTTTTTTTTAAAAAAATATATATATATGTAACGACCTCGAAAATTTTAAAAGAAATAAATTATAAATTAAGTGTGAAAATGAAATAAATAATTAACGTTTACATTCCTTACACAATAATTTAAAGTACCAAATATACGAGAGTGACTCTTTTGAGAGAAATACGAGAAATTAAAAAAATAATGAGAAAATAAATAAAATTAGCATCCTACTCGCAACCTTCTTGTAGATCGGACTCTGGATCATAATCTTTTTTTATCTGAAATGGTTAATAAAGGAATGAACTACATTAGCCTAATAAAAATATCACGCTATTTACCTACACAGAAATAAAAGTTGGTAGAAATAATAAAAACAACTCATGGAGCTCTTAATTTTACAAAATCGTTTGTCATATATGAAATCATTTACTATCTACTTATCGTAATGAGATTTACAAAACAACTTATAGAAACAATAATATAACACATCTCATGATTTCATATGCAATTGGTTGGAATAACAATTTTTTCTTTTATCAGCCTACTGGTATCCATGGGGGTTCATAGGGATATGTTCCTATAATGTGTGAACCATTTCCTTTAATATTTTCAATTAATAGGCCGTTCCCATACCCCGTCCGGTATGAGCGCTAAATTACCATGCATCGATACCTCGTTCAGTATGAGGCAACGTTCACAGTAGGGTTCCTTATATACCCGATCCGTCAACCATTTCTCAAGATATTCAGTAAAGATGTCGTTTCATCCATTCACTTAATCATATAATTTCTCGTTTACCTTTACTCTCCAGTTTCTAATTCAACCATAATCACATAAAATAAACAAAACATGCATCAGGGAATATAATCACATCCCAGTTTCTAAATTCAACTGTAGTCACATAAGACAACAATACATGCATTCAAAACTATAAAATCGATTAACAGATATTATCATGCATTCAAACTGTAAAATAATTCAACAGAAATAAATAGTGAATAATTTCCGGTTCTAGCTCCATTAATAACCCGTAATTAATTATGGATATTTTTTAAATTGCATAAAACACCGTATTTTTGTTAATTTGACTTCAATTTTATAACAAAGAATAGGGTGAGGGATTCTTACCCAAATCGATGTTCAAAATGCTAAACTTGTTGACTGCGCCTACCGGCAGTCCTCGGGTTCCCTGAAATTTTCTTCGGAGATTAAAAACGTGTTACAAGTATCTACAAATATCCCAAAAAATCCAAACTCAGTGTCAAGACCCCTTTTTGGCCAGTTCTAAAATTCCGGCACGGCAGCTCCACCGTGCTTCGTGCTCCGACGCCACTATCTGCGGGCGGCAATTTGTCTCGGATCAGCTATTTTTGGCCAAATTCGGCCGGTTTTACATCAATCTCTGCGAGAAAACACGTTAAGGGGTCTCGGTTGGCAAAAAAAAAATGAAAAATCGAAACTCACCAGCGGCGAGGTTCTCCGGTGCGGCGACTCTGCCGGCTCACATTTGCGGTTGGGTGTTTTACTTCAGTCAGCCTGTAGAGAAGGAAACGGTGATCACAATGGTGGAATAATTATGCAGAATAAGAATTAAAAAAGGCATCATTAGAGGCAGTGTCTGTAATTTCCCGTGACACTGCCACCGGATTTTGCCTGCGATTTCTTGCTAATCCACCAGCCTTTTTGCTCTGATTTAGCCATAGGGGTGTTTAAAATTGAATTCTGAGTAAAGACGAAAATTTTTACCTCTTTTGGCGATCAGAAGTGGCTCCGGCGCTGTGGCGGGTGGCAACGGTTTCGCTTTCTGGTAGCTGGGTCTTTTTCTCCAGCGAGGGTGTTTGGCGGCTAGGGTTAGGATTTGGTTCGAAAATCTAGGTCGTCTATCGCGTTTGATCTAGATCATCCGATCGCGATTAAATAGGAAGTAGATCTAGACCGTTGAACGTGTTTAAATATGATCGTCTGATCGCGTCTGGGAAGGGGACGCATTCGGGCCATCCGTGCGCGCGAGAGAGGATTTGGACCGTCTAATCGCGGACATGCAGATCACCTGCGTGACCTCCCGTGTGGCACCACGTCAACATCAATTTTCACGCGATGTGTTCTAGTTTGTCGGGCTGCTGACTGGAGATCCTACGTGATACGACTTTTTTAAATTACGTTTCGACTCTTGATTTTTTATTTTTTTTCAAAAATACACTCAAAACCTAAATTTTCACCTTTTTTTTCCAAAATTATTTTCAATTTCCTCATTCATCTATTTTTCTTCATTTTTACATTAATTTAAAATTCAAAAATATAAAAAATTATATTTATAAATTAATTTTAAATGCATTAAAATTAATTGGGCATTACAACTCTCCCCCATTAAAAGAAATTTGATTTTTCAAATTTGTCTCTCTCTCGCTCAACCAAACAGTTGGAGGTATTGGACTCTGAAGTCTGATCCTAACTCCCATGTGGCTTCTCTCGGTGTGTGATTCTGTCATAGAACCTTAACAAAGGAAATTTTTTAGTTGCGAAGTAATCTGCTCTTTCGGTCCACAATACCTACCGATACTTCCTTGTAGTACAGATCTTATTGGAGTGAAATAGACTCGTGGGCCAAGACGTGAGAGAGGTCCGAGTTGTACTTGTGTAACATAGACACATGAAACACATTATGGACCTTGAAAGTTCTGGAGACAATGTCAGTCTATAGGCGACGGTACCAATTTTGTCTAAAATTTAAAATGACCCAATAAATCTTGGATTCAGCTTCTCCCTCTTGCCAAACCTATGGATTCTCTTGAAATGGGTGACTTTAAGGAACACCCGATCGCTTTTCTCAAATTCTAAATCTTTCCTCCGAGTGTCCGCATAACTCTTATGCCTGCTCTGAGCCGTCTAAATGTTCTTCCTGATCTTAACTATTTTGGTTGTAATCTCCTCTGCGAGATCTGGGTCGAACAGTTTTCTATCATCCACTTCTTTCCAATATATCGGCGATCTGCATGGGCGGCTATACAACGCCTCGTACGGAGCCATGCAAATACTTACTTAGTAGTTGTTGTTATAGACGAACTCTATCAGGGGTAGATGGCCATCCCAATGGCCTCCGAAGTCAAGAACACAAGCTTGAAACATATCCTTGAGTGTGCGAATCGTCCTTACTAACTGTTCATCAGTCTGAGGGTGGAATGCAGTACTAAGAGACAGTTTCATTCTCATGACTTGCTAAAATTTAGACCAGAACTAAGAAGTGAACCGAGGGTCTCTATCGGACACTACTATCACTGGCACTCCATGTAATCTGACTATCTCCCGGATATACATTTTTGCTAACTTGTCCAAGGAGTCGGTCATCCTGATGGCTAAGAAGTGGGAAGACTTTGTAAGTCGGTCAACAATTACCCAGATGATATTATGTCCTGAGAGTGCCCTAGGCAATCATGTCACGAAATCTATGGTGCTATGTTCGCACTTTTACTCCAAAATTAGTAATGGCTGAATTATCTCACATGAGCATTGATACTCTGCCTTGACCTGTTGACATACCAAACACTTAGAAACAAAGTCAGCCACATCTCTTTTCATCTTGTTTTACCAAAATTGGGGTCGCATACTTTGATGTATCTTGGTGCTTCCGAGATGCATGACAAACATTGAGCTATGAGCCTCTATCATGATATCCATTTTCAACTCCCTATCACCTGAAACACACACCCTATCTTGAAATCTAAGCAATCTATCGGTAAAGACTCGAAAGTTTGAATAAACTCTATGTTCTGCATCTTTCTTGAGGGTTGCTAAGGTGGAATTGGCGGACTGAGCTTCTTTTATTCTTTGGATCAACTCAGGTTGAACAGTCAGGTGGGCCAAACATGTGACTCTCTTCAGGTCCTAAAGTCATACCTGTTGTGCGGTCTCTATTGCCCTGCATTCTGAAACCATCAAGTGGGCTAATATACCTGCACTTTTTCTGTTGAGTACGTCGACTACCACGTTGCCCTTACCCAGGTGATATAAGATGTTGCAATCATAGTCCTTGAGGAGTTCTATCCACATTCTCTTATGCATGTTGAGATCCTTTTGAGTGAATATGTGTTTTAAGCTTTTATGATCGGTATAGATATGAAAGATCTCCCCATACAAGTAATGGTGCCAAATTTTCAATACATGGATAATTGCGGCAAGTTTTAAGTCATGAATGTGATAGTTTTTCTCATGACTCTTCAATTACTTAGACTCATAGGCTATGACTTTCCCATGCTGCATCAAAATACAACACAACC